CCACTCGTGTCGCTTTTATCGATCCAATTACTTTCAAATTCACCATGGATCAAATAAAGAGCCCTGGAAATTTCCATGTAGTCTGGAGTCTCTGGTACTTGAACAAAAGGAATACCATCAGTGATCTTGACATCAAGAATGTGCGTATACTCTTCGAGGATCGGTGCTAATTGATAGTCCCGAAAAGTAAAATAGTGCAATTGCGAATCATAGAACTGAAGAAGTGTTCTCACGACCCACTCTTCAAAATCATCATTCACCAACAATAATAAGTTTCCATATTATCCTCTGAAAAATCCTTCATTCGGCCCTCTCACAAGAGCTCCTATCTCTCGCAATCGACCATCAAAGCACGGAAACTGATATGCAGCAATGTTTTTGAAAGGCTTTATGCTTGTCTCCATGTTGCTATCCATACTTGATACTAATGACAACTTTAGAATAATCCTGGAAATGACATGCATATGCAGGTTATATATATATATATATATATATATATATATATATATATATATATATATATATATATATATATATATATATATATATATATATATATATATATATATATATATATATATATATATATATATATATATATATATATATATATATATATATATATATATATATATATATATATATATATATATATATATATATATATATATATATATATATATATATATATATATATATATATATATATATATATATATATATATATATATATATATATATATATATATATATATATATATATATATATATATATATATATATATTGGAATTCATAAAGATAACAAAGAGATATATTGGAATCACTTTAACTATGAATGACATTCCTGATGGTCTGGAAGGTAGTATGTACAAGTCTAGAAAAGGAAGCAGATTGCTTCTGAAATCGAGTAGGTTGTGCAGAAGCCATCTAAGTAAGAGATTATACACTAGAAGAATGTTCAGAGGGAGGTTCAAGAAGTGGCCTCAACAATTGTCTTGATCGCCTACAAAGACAAGAAGTGGAGCCACTCCTTAGAAGACAACCTCTTCTGACTTGGTTGTGTATATTAAAAAGAAGAAGTTTAGGAAGATGATACTACCAGAAGAAGAAGAAGAAGATGAACAACCTATATACAAGAAGCCCAAGGTTGCTGTAAAATATGTTCAAAACCTCTCTTCATAGGCTATTCAAACGGGAGGTAGTTTGGTAGCTAAAGCCTTGTTGAGTCAGGAAATGGAACAATATTCCCTTCCAGAAGTTTTGCATAAGCAATTGGAAGATGAAGCTGAAGAAAAAGTTGTGATGAAGAAGGCTGAGGGTTCTTTTGTTGTTGGAACTTCTCATATGGAGAAGAAGCCTCTACTCATGCTCTTGAGACCATTATAGAAGAAGAGCAAATTGCATCAGATGTTGCAGTGATTGGTGACATGGGTAAACCCTTGAATTTTGTCCCTGATAATGTCTTAAATTCTTCCAATTCACCACTCATGACTAAATCTCCAACACCAACCCCACCTGAAACTCCTAAACACTCACCTTCACCAAAACATGACCAGAACCTATCTATGGGTCATGTCATGTCCTCTCCCAAACCACCTCAAAATTAAAATATGATGCATCAGATTCCTATAACATTGGTCAGATGCTTGAAAACTTTGCTCACTAAGAGGATGTTCCTAGAGAATATTTCCTAGAGGAACTGTTAAATCACATAGATGGTGAGTTACCTATTGAACAAAACTATCTAGCATATATCTCTGATTCTGAATAACCCAAGTCCCTGATAATCATGCTCGAATCCCTATAAAGGTTACCAGTGGTAGATCTAGTCCAAGCTTAAGCTTAATCTCTGAGTTTGATGACTCTGACATTAGACCTATCAATGTTAAACCTCTTCAAGTTGTTCCTCCTGAAACCTTACCCTCTGACACCCAACAAAATTCCTAAACCAGTTTTGTTGAACCAAACCTAACAGACATTGTTAAGACAGTAATTACAGTTCAATCTGAAACTAAACAAGTTATCCAATACCAATCTATTATAGAACCCAAAAACCTATATGAAACTGAACATGAACCTTATCGTATTTAGTCTCAATCTGAAGTTCAACCAACATCTGAACTTCAAATTGGAACTGAGCAATTCACCCAAGACCAAACCAACTCTGAAAACCACCTTGTTCAACCTCAACTTGAAACTACTGCCTAAACTGATCTTGGACAATTTACTAAGAACTAAACTCAACCATAATCCATAAAAGACCAAACTATACCAAAAAACCTCCAACAACCTGCACCATTTGATCATCATCCTTTTTCTTAATAGAGAAGCAGATGTTGTATGAGGATTTGGCACAATACCTGTATATTTTCCTTATTCACCTCACCCCACTCTCCAGCTAAACCTCCCACCTCATATCAAATACCAAATGGAAGAGTTTAAGTCTATTACCTATGACAGAGTTCAAAATCTATTGACTGAGAGGCTCTTCTCTTCTAAACCCATAGCTCATGTAGTTGAATGAGACATTCTCAAATCTTCTATGGATTCAGTCTTGCAAAATATCAAGGCTTTCTCATTATAGTTTGTAGCTTCTTCTAGTCAAAAGTATGAGACCTTAGAAACGAAATTGGATTATTTTGTTGCCACTCAAGAAGTTATGGCTGCTAAGAAAGAAAATATGGATGTTCGGATGAAGATTGTGATTTCTAGGCAAGATATAATGGGTTCTGATCTCAAAGTCATCCTTGAGTTTCTGAAGCAAAAACCATAGGCTTTAAGATCTAGGAAACCTTTTTGTGTTGTCTTGTCATTTTTTAAACATGGTTTTCATCTGAATCTCTTCTTCTTTGGTTAATGAAATGTTTACTTCAACATCTTTTCTTATTATGTTTATTCTTTTTGTTGATGACAAAAGGGGGGAGTAGGATAAGTATTTAAGCATTTGAATTTGATTGAATGATAATTTTTATTGCTTTAAATATGAAGATCTGTTATTGTGCCATAAAGATAAATTTAATTAACCTAGATATGACTTAGGGGGAGCTTACAAACCTCACTCTTAGAAATATCAGACTCGGGAGGAGCTTACAAACCTCAGACCTTGAAGCAACTTGTTAATTAAATCAACAATCATTGTTCTTAAATACTTGTGTTTTTCATCATAAAAAAGGGGGATATTGTTGAAACAAAATTGGTTTATACTATATCCCTTAGGTTTTGATGATAACAAATTATTTAAAGAACAATTGGGTATACTAGTGTATGTTCAAGTGTGCATGAACATAGATTAAAATCCAAATACAAAATCAGTTCTCAAACTGCATTGAACATCTAAGCGAAGCCTTAAGATGCAGATTTCTAAAGATCATACTCTGAAGAATTAGCCTCTAAAGAGGTCAACTTCTGAAGACCAGAGTCTGAAGAAAAGTCAACCTCTGAATGATCATAACCTGAAGATCCCAAATTTTGAAGGAAGTTTAGTTCTGAAGAATCGTCTTCTAAAGACTCGGAACCTGATGCAAGTCAAAGCTCAAGGATCAAGAAACTCTGATAGGTCACTATCAGACTTTAATGATATTTTGTCTTCTTATGATCACGTGAAGACTTAGCACAAAATTTGCAGAAGACATATGGAATACAACTGATAATTCCTTTTTCACCAAAGGAGTTTCAAATAAACTTTCAACGATATTAACCATATAAGGAAGCATTCCAACGGATCTGATGATGCTTCTATCCAAGACTCACTTGTGCAAGAAGTCCTCTCCAACGTATCTTTGGTGTCCCTCTATAAAAGGAGTTGAGAAACTTGGAGAAATACACAACACTATGCCTTTACAAACAAAGAGTTGTTACTCTGTCAAATCTATTACACACGCTTAACTTATAACTTATTATCAATTGTATATTCTTATAAGTTCTTAAGTTTTAGAGTCTTTTGTGTTGTATTGTGTATACACTTATCATTAGAAATCTCTTGTTTGTGTGCTTGAACATTGAAGTCTTTTACTTGTGTGTTTGAACATTTGAAAGTCTCTTGCTTGTGTGTTTGAGCATTTGTAATAAGATTTAGTTACAGTGAAAATCTATTAGAAGTACATGGAAACTAGACTACTCTTGATTTATGAGAGAAACCAGAACAATTGCTCGTGTTCTCTCTTTCTTCTTTGACTCTTAACTATTTTATCTGCCGCTACTCATCAGACTCAGACTCAGATTTTGATCTTGTATTCAAAATTTGATAAGAATTTATTCTAACTAATCCAATTAATTTCAAATAATCAAATGCTTTAAATTAAAATAAAATAAAATATATTAATTTTATATTTTTAAATATATTCAATCACTAAATTAAAATATAAAAATATATTTTTATAAATTACCTAGTCTAATATAATTTTAACAACACGAAGATAAACAAATAAGAATAGGAACTTCGTAGGACTTCAAAAATAATTTTAAAACATCCTACCCATCTTATTAATAGACCCAAAGCGGTTTAGCTCATCAAATTAAAACCGGGTCAAACCTGGCTTAATTCTCTCACTCCGAATCAAATTCCCAAGAATAACAAAAATATCACGGAATATCATTTTAGGTTAATTTCATTAAATATTTTACTTAGAAACGTAAATGCTTCACAGGGATCAAAAAAGAAAGTCTTTGAGATCACATCCCAAAGTGGATTTCAGAATCTCATCTCCATCTCCATTATCCAACACCATCAACATCTTCCAACTATAAATAATAAATAAAAAGGATAGAGAGAAAGATATTAAAGAGAGAAAAAGATTTTATTTTAATTATTTAATTCAAAATAAAAATAAAAATTTAAACAGAAAAAAAAAAAGCGGTGCCAGATGGATATAGTAGAATCAAAAAACAACACAACATGTCACATTGTCACATATATTTAAAGTTTTGATACCTACATTAAAGACTTCCCTTTCTCCATTTTTTTTCACTCTCTCTTTCGTTTTCTTCTTCTTTTTCTTCGATGGAGACAAACGGTGTCGTTTCGATTGATGTCGATGCTGAAGAGGTTCATGTTCTGGCCGTTGATGATAGTTTAGTTGATCGGAAAGTCATTGAACGGTTGCTCAAAATTTCAGCTTGTAAAGGTTAGTTTTGTAGTTTTACAAAAACAAATAAAAATGTAGAATTTATTTTTTTATTAAAATGTTTATAATTTTAATTTTTATATTTTTGTGGAAATATTTTAGTTACTGCTGTGGATAGTGGAATCAGAGCACTGCAATTTCTGGGATTGGATGAATCTGATGGTTTTGTCGTATGTGCGCTAATTCAAAATATTCATTTTTAGCGGTATTTTTATTATTTTTCATTTAATTAGAGATTATTAATTTTATTATGATTTTTAAATTTTATTTTATTTTTGGTTTTCTTAGCCGGGTTTGAAGGTGGATCTAGTCATTACAGATTATTGCATGCCTGGAATGACTGGTTATGAGTTGCTTAAGAAAATCAAGGTTTCAATTATTTTCATAATAATTCATTTTTACAAGCTTTTATTTATTTATATAATTTATAATGTTTGTGAAATTTGATTGGAAATTGCATTTTGAAGCAGGAATCGTCCAGTTTCAGAGAAATTCCTGTAGTTATTATGTCTTCAGAAAACATTTTGCCACGCATAGACAGGTATTACTATTATTTTATTTATTTATTTTCAAAATTATTATTATTAAAATTTGTTATTATTTAATGAGTTAAATATATTTTTAATTTTTATAAATATTTTAAAATTTATTTTTAATTCATATTAAAAAATGATATATTTTGGTTCTATAAAATTTTATTCATATAATTTTACTTTTGTTATTTTTTAAAATTTTAAAATTTATTTAATTGTTTTAAAACTTTTAAATTTTAAAATAAACTTTTTCATATGTGTTTAACCTACTATAACAGGTTTTTATATTAAATTTTAAAACTTTTTAAAATGAAATGAATTAAATTTAAATTTTTTAAATTTTAAAAGATATTGATGAAATAAATGAAAATTTCAACTGAAAAATCAAATTTTGAATTTTTTTCAATAATTTTTATAACGTTTTAAATATATATATATATAAAATAATTATTCAAAAATACACATCAGTTTAACAGAATAAATTAAAATTATGTGCATAATAATTTTATAGAAATTAAAATATATCATATTTTTTTATAGAAATAAAAACAAAATTTAATAATTTATATGGACAAAAAATATATTTAATTCCTATTTAATTTATTTATTTTTAAAATGGAGTGATTTGTAAATATTGAAAATATGTAGATGTTTGGAGGAAGGTGCAGAGGACTTTATAGTAAAACCAGTGAAACTATCTGATGTGAAACGTTTGAAGGGTTACATGACAACAAGAGATGTTAGAGGGGAAACTGAAAACAGAGAAATTAACGTTAACTTTAACGGTAACGTTGAAGGTAACAATGGAGTGGGAATCAACAACAAAAGGAAACTAGAGGAAGCTTCTGATGAGTTTTCATCAGAACCGTCCATTTCATCATCACCGTCGGTGTCACTTTCATCATCTCCGATGTCTTCTTCACCTGATGTGCTTGATTCTCCGATCCGACGGCTTAAAATGGCCGACACTGAATGACTATTTGGACTGTCATATAGCATATTATTATTTTTTTCTACTTTGAACATTTTTTTTATTTAAACTGCAATTACATACCCGTTTTTTGGAAACGGTTTTTGTTGCACTGCCCCGTTCTTAAGTTTTATCTTTGGGTTAAATTATTGTGTTTCTTAGTATGCAAGTGGGTTAACGTTACTAAACTATAGTAATATTTTTATTGTTTTACCTTTTTTTTTTTAAATATGAAATATAAAAATTATGCCCTTTTATGTGATTGTAAAAGGGAAGAAGACCAACATTTGTGTGATACATTTTGTAGATAATTATATATTTTAAGTAGGAATAGCAACTTCGCTTCGTAAAAGTTCGAAAAAATAAAAATAGACAGAGCAAAATATTAGAGAGTGAAGGTTTAAAATTTTAGTCTGTCTTAAAAAAAAAATGAGAGTTGATCGGTTCCAACAACCTTATGCTCTTAAAATTTAAAAGTTACAAAATTCATATTAATCTCTGTATCTGTAAAAGTCTAAAAAAAAAATAGGAAACAACATAATGAATATACTAGAGAAAGCAAATAAAAAAATATGAGTAAAATAAATTTTTTTGGAGTTGAATGAATCCATTTTATACTCTAATTGTGAATATATGATAATTTAGAAAAATTCTTCGCATTTGCACAATCGAAAAGAATATTTAAAACAAAATCAAATAATTTTAAAAAGTGAATAAATTGATGTTGTGGATTCAAAATTTAATTGCTAGAATTTTATGTCTTAAAAGATGAATAAGTGAGTATACGTATTCAAATCCATATTTATGTAAATAAATGTTGTACATAATTCTCAACTAAACTGTGTTAATTAAATTTATTACTAGTAATATTTTGTTGAGTTATAGGATGGACAAAAAATAATGAGAGAAGAGAATCAAATAATGAAATATAATTGGAAATGATGTAAAACAGATGGAATATAGGGTTGCAAGATCTTGCTTGCTAAAAGAATAAAGAAGGAATGAGGATGTGAATGGGGCACGTTAAATTTGAAAGTGTCCCCCTATAAGGAAGAGTGTAGGAAAGTGTAGTGGGGTCAATGGAACTGTTGTAATTGTCTACTTGTCTCAAATGGAGGATGTGTCCTACAATTAAACTTTGCTCAAAACACTGCTTCTGTCATGTGAAAATGGAACCAGAATATTTGGTTGTTGGTTCTTTACTTTTTTCTTCTTATCTTTTTTTAAACTTGTCACCTGCTCCATTTCTTCATGCACAGAGTTTTGATGGACACATGTTCATTTCTGTGTAGTAGCTATAGAGGTAACAATTCAGTCAAAACTCTAAGACTTTCTACACTTTCAACAAAACATTCAATAAATTAGTTGGTGTGAAAAAAATTGAAGAGAGAAAGAAAGAATGTTAAGGCTATTTGGATATCATAAAATAAAGTGGAATAGAAACAAATTAATGGAATGGAGCATAACAGTGTAGGTTGACATGAAAATGGAATAAAACAAATTTTACATTTTTGTCAAAATTAAAAGAGAAAAAAAATACATTAATAGTGATAGAATGAAATAAAATGTATACTACTTTATTCTGCTATGCTCCATCAAATTTTAATTTATCCAACTAACGCATATTTCATCAATCCAAATAAAATTTTAAAGAAAGAAATAGAAGAATAATATAGAAATTCATGTATTGTTTCATACTTAGAAAAAAAAAATAGAAAAAAAAAGAGTTTAGAAATTTAAAAACCAAAATATTGTTATATCAAGACTCAAAATATTCTTAAACTAAAAAAAAGTGTTTAAATTTTTAACTAATTGTTTCAAATATATTTATTTTATCTTTTTGTCTAATTAGAACTCAGAAATCTTTAATCTATTGAATGAACTAAGAAGTATAGAGAGAAAGATAGCACAAAATCTTCTTGTTTATTGCTTGTACATGAATAATAGGGAACTATATATACAAGATTTAGAGTCAGTTACATGGAGAGTTAGTTACTCTAACTAACTATCCTAACCACTTTTAAACTCATTCTAACTAACTTTCTAGAATTAGTTACTCTATTTTTAATTTACTCCAAATACCACTACCCTCCCTAAAATCATGGTTAGTGAGAGGATCAAACCATGATTAATTGTATCATTTAAGTATCTAAGGATTATTTTGACTACACTTCAATGAGATCCAAGAGGTTTTGCCATGAATTGAAAGGCTTTGTTGACACAATAAACTATGTCAGATCTAGTTAATGTAGCATATTGAAGGGCTTCAATTGTAGACCTATATAGAGAAGGATTAGTAAATGTGTCCTTGCCATGTTTGTTCAACTTGCAATGGTTGAACACTGGTATACTTACTCCATTTGCATCAATCATGTTGTCTTAGAGAACAAATCTTTGATGTACTTAGTCTTTGTCAACAACATGGTTCTATTAAACTGATAATGCACCTCAATTCCAAGAAAATACTTTGGTATACTTAGTTTTTTCAACAGAAATTTGTCATGGACCCTTATAATGAGATCATGTATTAGTTTAGATGATGTATCCGTGAGAAGGATGTAATCAACATAAACCGATGCATATAGAGTGGTGGCATGATTCTTATAAACAAAGAGTGAATGATCACATTTGCTAGAGAAAAAACCAAACTGAAGTAAAGCTTGATGGAGTTTTTTATATAGTGTCCTTGGAGTCTGCCTTAGGCCATAAATTGTCTTCTTTAATTTGCTAAAGAGTGTTGAGTTGGTGTTGACAAATTCAAGTGATTGTTGCATATACACCTCTTCTTCGAGATCATAATTGAGAAATGCATTATTGATATCAATTTTATGGATTTCCCACGTATAAGTGAGAGTAGAGGACATGATAACACTAATAGTGGTAGGCTTTACTACAAGTGAAAAAGTTACATGGAAATCAAAGCCTTGTTGTTGGTGAGACCCTTTTCTACAAACTTTGTCTTATATTTATTAATTCTTTTATCTTGAAAATCCACTTGTAGCCTATAGATTTTATGTAAGGTGGAAGAGTTATGAGAGTCCAAGTACCATTCTTTAAGAGTAAGTTGTATCAAACTTGTATTGCTTCAAACCACTCAGGTCGAGATAAAGCCTATTTTTTAGTGGTATTTTTTGAGTGAACAAATAAGATCTATGGTTTATACTTGCCAATTTCGGCTTTTATAAGCATGAAATGGGTATTAACAAAAAGTGAGGTGTTAGGAGGTTGGTTGTGAAAGAAGAGATATAAATATTATGTGGAGGGAAACATGTACTGGTGAGATAAGGAAGCAGTACTTTCATTTCTTGAGGTGACTTTGGACAATGTTATGAATATGACTAAATATACTTATGGAAAGTTTAATTTAATTAGGAAGTTTTATTGTTCAAGAATTTGTTTAGTTGGTAAGGCTTGGTTTGAAGTAGCTGATGGTAAGACTTGGTTTAAAGTAGCTAGCCCAATTTGAGATTAGGTCAATTTGAAGTAGCTAGCATTTTGACCATATTTGTGCTCAGAGTCTCCATTTCTTGATGTACCAATATGGAGTCATATGGAAGAGGAAATTTGCTAGAAGATCGGTTTTGTACTCCAATTTTTGCCCCTAAGAGTCTTTTATCATATCATACCCTCACAATGCAACAAGATCATATTAGGGTTGGTTATTCCTCTTTTTCTATCTCCTATCTTTAAGTTTGCTCTTGAGGAACTCCCAAACACCTTAGTTGTGTATTTTATATACGTGTTGTTGACTAACTTCTAATCAAAATACAAAAAATATTTGTCTTTGTCTTTGTATATTTGTGTTTTGTAGGTGCCAAGTTAAAGCATCAAACAAATAAGGATTTCTGGTATTATTTTCCTAAAATCTCTATTTGCAAAGAAAAATAATTAACAAAAATTCATTTTTTCACTGATGCAATCGATTGCTCTTAGAGTGCAATCGATTGCTCTTAGAGTGCAATCGATTGCATATAGTGCATTTTGCGTCATTTTTGAAAAAATACACTGATGCAATCGATTGAGCCTAGAGTGCAATTGATTGCATAATGTGAAAATTTGAAAAATCAGCAATTTCAAGTTTGATAATTTTGGCTCCAATTTTTCTTCATTTTTGAAATATATATCATTAATTCAAATTTTGGTGCCAATTTTTTATTTTTTGAATAATATGTCATTAATTCAAATTTTAGTGCTAATTTTTCATTTTTTGAAATATGTCATTAATTCAAATTTTGGCTCTAATTTTTGAAAGTTATTCATTAATTCAAGTTTTGGCTCCAAGAATCAATTACCAAATTACCACTAATCCCAAACTTAAACTCTATAAATAGAGCCCTCATTTCATTCAAATCACAAGCTTTTGATAGCCAAAATCACTTTGCTAAAAAATCTCTCAATTCTCTCCATCTACCAAATTCACTCAAAGCTCTATTTTCAAAAAAAAAGTTAGTAAGTTTTGCATTGAAGCTTACTAATCTTTGAGCTAAACCTTCACTCAAACACTTTTTCTTCATCAATTCTCTACATCCAAGCTTGGGCAATTGATTCTTGTGGTTGAATTGAAGCAAATTCTTGAAGTTTTTTTGACAATTCTCTAGATCTATCTTTCGTAAGTTGGATAATTCATCTTTCACAATGTGATCTCTTATTGATCTTTGGGTTTGATTCATTGAGCATTATTTTGTGATTCTAATGGTGCTATTTTCTCATAATTTGATGGAATTTTCGTGCTCAATTGGATCTATGATCATAAGGTATTTAACGGAAAATTTGAACAAGAATTCTGCCTTTTGAAATGTTATTTTTCCTACTGTAACAGTGTGTAATCGATTGTTGTCCTGGTGCAATTGATTGCACAAAAGAATTTCACGTAAAATTTTGAAAAAATTTACTGTGCAAATCTATTTGCACTGTAGTGCAATAAATTTGCACAGAAACAAAATGCATTTTTTGCCTTATTTTGGGGCTGTTTTGATCCAAAATGCTTTTTCTACTCACTCCTTTTG